GCTGAGTGGCAGCCCTTTGAGGTAGGCAAGGCCAAGAAATAGTCACAGCAGAGATTCCAATAAGAAGATAAAAACATAAGCAGTGCTCTACTGGATAGGATCCTTGGCCCATCTAGCCCAGTGTCTGTTCTCACAGTGGCCAACCAACTACACAAGGAAGCCAAACAATCTCCCAGCCTATGATCTACAGAGGCAGTCACACTGCCATCAAGGCTAATAGCCATTGATCCCCATGCCTTCATGAGTTGATCCAATCCCTTTTTCAAGTCAGCTAAGCTGGTAGCCAGCACCACATCTCATAATGCTTTTTATTGTTGTAGGGTAGAGTAACAGAATCTTAAAAGCCTGTCAGAGTTTCTTTCTGCTCCATGTTATTCCAGATTAAAGGCAGGGTTATTCTGAGTTTATTTCTCATGCTTTCCCCTTTCTTAGGGCTGAGTAATCTTATCTGAAAGTCTCCTCTTAACAGTTCACTCATTCCTTCTTCAAAGCTAAGTCTACATTCCTTCACACTGAGTGATCAAGGGCTGTACTCCCTCCATTTTCTGGTACAGGTTGTTCACCAACATGATCAAAAGAATCTCAGTCTGTTTCCCAACCAAAATAGGTTCTCATATCATCCAGATGATCTGCAGCTGCAAGGCCACCATCTCTCACCTTGCCCAGAAGTGCAAGTATTTGAGCCTGGCCTATACTTGCATGAATCTTTCAGGACAAGAAATAGTTTCTTGGAGGTCTTAAACAAGGGAGAACACATCTCATTCACAAGAAGGCACTGATCGCTTTCTTTAATTATGGGGTTAATTCCATTATGCAACTAGTACCATTAAATCAGGCGGGAGGGCAAGGATTGAGTAAGCAGATCATAAACCTCATCTCTCTACCTGTGCTGTCTACATCTTTAGGATTTACAAGCCAAGAAGAATCCAAAATAAGTCAAGAAGTTACAGAGGTTGCATCCCTAAGACCTGTTCAATACTGAAATTCAGGTTGAGGTGGATCTGATCAACTTTACCTGTAAAGAATTATGTAAATTGCTCCCAGTAAATTGCTCCCAAGTATTCCTGCTCTCCCTTCAACATTTCGGTGGAAGAGATGTTGTATGGTACAGAAAAGCAACTCTAGCCTATTCAGTGAAAAGGCAATGGAAGCAGAGAAGCAGGTGTTTTTCATTGCCTTTACATGGGCTTCAATCTGCTTGATCTGATATATCCTGGGGTTCCTCCACTTGTGCTGTAAATATTATTCTACTCAATTTATCATTCTCAATTCTCAGTAAACCAAGGGACTATTCTGATTCTGTAAGATGAAGAGGTCACTTAGAAACATAGCATTAACCACCCAGGCCATCTGTTTTCCTTAGATCAACAGGGCTATCAACAGTTAGTACCTCAAGTCAACCAAGGGATCAAAGTGTAATTGTTAAGTGATATGGGGAGCTGCTCAAGCGTATTCAGGAAAATATCTGATTCCCTAGGTTGGATCATTTTTAATTGATCCTCCACAAATGCAATTTATATTGGCTCCCCACCTGCACATGGAAATTTAGGAGATGCACAAAATGGAAAATGTACACTGAATCCTGAAAATTCCATAAAACTGTTTTGAATTGGCCACAGTTTGATGACACAAAACTCTGAGTGTTCCATGTTTTGTCTGAACAGCATTCAAAACAAATTTCTTGGCCAAGTGAATCCATGGAGAACTTAAAAATTGTCAGCCCCACTAGGTAGACCCGACCAGAAAATCAACTCCACAGACAGGCTAAAATTACTTTTATTGAGATTGGCTATAATAACAGAATCTTGCAAGTCTGTTATTGTGCTGTACCTCCTCCTCCTCCTTATACTCCCATGAATCGGGATAACAACTGCCTGAGTCACTTCCAAACGTTATCTTGTCTCTCTGGATTTAAAAAATGTTTCAGCCCCTTTTGCCTAGGCAATGGTTCTTGCATATTTCCATCAAAGTTGTCTTCCTTACTCTCTACAAAAATGAACTTTGTGAACTGCAAAAGTGCAGATAACCAGTAATTATCAGCAAAGAGATAAAGGAAAAATAACTCATTGTTGTCATCTGTTGGTCATTTGGATTTCTGCAGTTCCTAACCAGTAGCCCCAGCCGAGAAAAAACTCTTTCCTTGCCTGAGTTTATATTCCTCCCATCCTTTTCCTTCCTAGGCTCCCCCTGCCCCATCCCTCATCTTTCCCTGCCATATGCAGAAGTAGTACAGCCTGGGGAAATCCTTGGATGGCTGTTGACTGGAGTACTAAGGCAGAAAGGAACTGAGAACCTGCCAATCCCAATCTGAGATTATAACCCTCATGGAGGCAATGACTCCATGGTGAGGGCCTTTTAGCAGATGTGAGCCAGCCATGAAATAATCTCCAGGCAATTTCACAGGGGACAATGAACCATGTTAAGAGTACCAGAAGTCTATCATTGCCAAAGATTGCAGTCAGCACCAATTCTAATGCTGCCTCCTCTGGTGTACAGGGTGATGAAAGTTCCCATGGAGCTTGGGTGCAGCTGACAAGAGAAGTAAGTTGGCCTCCTGATAGGTCAAGGCTTCCCCAGACACAGCTATTGCTTCCTTCTTACTTTTCTTCCTCCTCAAAGCAATCTCCCTGTTCCTGCTTGCAGTTGTTTCTGCTGCCAGGGAAAAGGGACTTCTCCTGGATAGAAGCCACAGCTTGCTGGATAATAAAGTGCTACCCTCCCACCCACATAACTGCTAACTCCTGCTGTTTGTTCTGAAAAGTCAGGTGAAGCCCCACAAAGGCTACTTCATTCCAAACCACACGGGTCAGCAGATAACTGTACAGCTGAAAGAATGAGCAGGGAAAGAAACACTGAAGTTAGGTGTATAACTTTTTTTAGAAGCATGCATTTGGATTGGTACTTGTGTGAAAGAAAATAAAGAACCTTTCTTTAGGAAATAACATATGATAGGAAAGGCTGCATTGTGTAATTCTATCTATAAGAGACGGTAACATGTTTACTCCATTATGGAGATAGAGTGAGTCAGGAAGAAGCTGAATTTGCCCAGATCAGGATCAAAAAAGAAAGGAAACTGAACTGAGGGAAGAAGAGATGAAAGCCCTATGAATATCAGTCAAACCCAGTGTTTCTCAGTCTTGACAACTTTAAGATGTCTGGACTTGTGCCAAGTCACTCTGCTAACCATCTCCACATCAATTGCCCCTAGTGTTCTGGGTTTATAGATACAAAAAGCTGGTGGAAGTTCAGTTCACCAGAAAGCAAAGCTGAATTCCACCAACCCTTTCTTCATGCAGATGATCAGGTGAGATTCTGTCCCTCTTGGCCCAATAGTGGTCTGTCACTGTCTGCAAAGCTCCAGCTCTTTCTATCCTATACTGCTCGCTCATCCATTCAGCCCCCTTAGCTTTCCCATGATGGTTACTGACATTCTGATCACCCAAGCCAATCACATCCCCTCTATTTGAAAACACAGATGATGAGAGGTGGGGTTTTGTGTAGTTAAATCAGATGACCATTGATATTGATTGGGCAGATAAGGAGAGGGACTTTGTTATTTGGGGATTGGATGGGGCCAGGAGGAGAGTTGGGTTTGGCTGAATATCACCTAAAATCAGATGGAATACTTGGAAATCACCACATTTTGGTTCATCTCCAAAACAAAACAACCTTGTTTTGGTTTCTAAATGAACCAAACCAGGCAAAAGACGTTTGTTTTGTACATGAAACACTTGGGGTGGCTATTCCATGCTCGAAATGATTCATACCGATACTGTTTTGCACTTCCTGTTTGGTAATAAAAAATGCAGAGCTCCCTGTGCCTTTAGATCACCACCTCCACTTGAATAATGCATACCCTTGATTTCTTTTTCATTTTCTACCATTTTGAATTTATTGGATCTACATGGGTGTTATATTCTATCAGTGAACTGACTAGCTCATTCTCAAGGACACATGATGCACACTTTTACCAATCCTTACGCTATTTTCCTCCCAAATAATTTTTCTCCTAGCTGTTTTTATGGCAGTTTTTTTTAAAGGCAAATACAGCTTCTGTGCACAATAGAGTACAATATAAGCCAAGGTTGCAGTACTATCAATTTTATTTCTGGACTGCTGCCACACTACTCTTAGGAGGAAGGGAAATGAAGCCAGGAAAGCATTTTTGTAGAGGTTATGAAACAGACTGAAAGTGACTAGTAGAGATTAAGATTTGGTTCACTGGAAATTGGTTTGTGAATGAGATATATGCCTTGTGTGTACATGGTAAGAATAGTAAATATGACACTGTTTGTTATGTACCTACTCACAACTAGGAAAACTATCACCACAGAGCCTCACACAACATAGAGGCTTCTAGCATAAATTTTCCCTTGGCCTCTGTGTTATCTTCTCCATATCTTCTTAAAGACTTACCCAATCTGTTGCTAACTCTGGATGTGTTAGATTATGATTCCCACCATCTCCAGCCATCTTGGCCAATGATAGCATGAAGACTGTAGATTTTTATTTTTTGGATGATTTAGGTTTCTATGTCACATACTCACATGGGTGTACAGCAACTAATATAATACTGGATTAAAACCAAAGAATAAATAATATTAACCATAACAGCCAACCTGACAGGCCACCATTCAGAAGCAGAACAATATTCACATGTCTTCACATGCTCTCCTGAAGAGCCAGGTTTCACTTCTCTTCAGAAATATGAGTGGAAAGTCCAAACTGTAGATTGTTCTACAAGAGGAAGGCTATTACTGAGAAGTCTCAATAGCATTGTCCTTGCAGATAATATTCCTTTGATGGAAGGACCTTCAGCAAGCCCTCCTCCTTGATTTTACCAGGTGGGGAGATTCAACTTGGAGAAGTTGGTGTCAGAAATATACAGGGCAATGTAGGGCTTTAAAGCTAGCAACCAGCATCTTGAATTGCATTCAGAAGCTAACTGGCAGCCAGTGCAGGTTCCACAGTGGTGGTGGTATGTGGGTGAACTGTGATACACCCATAACTACCTGGGTGGCCTCATGCTGAACCATCTGAAACTTCCAAAGGGTCTTCAAGGGCAGCCCCATGTAGAGCAAATTGCAGAAGTCCAAATGCAAGACGATAAAGACATGAATGACCACAAGCAAAGTCTGTTCAAGAAATGTCTGCAACTGTGTAACTGTGTAAAGGTTATTCAGACAAATTTTATGCAGGAGAATATTAGAAGTTCCATCAAAATCTGCAACTAACCTTAATAAATCAATCAAATGATCAATACCTATGAAGAACGTGAATTTAGCATACAAGGATTAGCATGATCCCTTACTACTATCAAAAGAAAAACAACAACAACGAGCCCTACTGTATTATATCCTATGACTTCACAATTTTAGGCACATTAGTAGTATCCTTTTGCCAAATGCCTGCCAATTTCTCAAATATACTTTTCTCTCTTTTTTGCTCCCACCCTCAGTAACGCCAATCCTATTCATTTCTAACATATCTGCATCAAGGCATTTCACGTTATAGGGCTAGTAAAGCTGCAGCATTAGCAAGAGGATATGGCCCTTATTCTTACCTACTTTTGGAATGAAATACTCAACATCTCATGTAAAGCCTATGTGGCCCTCAAGCCAGTGGAAGTAGCAAATTTCTAGGATACAAAATCTTTAAGGAGACTAGTTTGCCTTTTGGATATTTTGTGAAGTCCATAACCACTGTGATGCACTGTCTATCAGTGCCTGAGTAACCCTCCCATGGTAGCTATGTTATGAATGGGCTAACCACTTGTTCTCAAAACTCCAAAGGTGCTCCAGATCCATTACTAGAATATATACAATATTCAGTTCTACCAATGTTTTCATTCAATGAATTTATTTTGGACTGTGATTGAAATATGACTGAGTACATCAGACATCTGTTTGCCAACCCATTTTATGACACACATTTCCCAGGATGCAACAGTATTGCCTTCGTGTTGGCACATTTCAGTGCTCCAAATACACAGAGGGTAGATGTCCTCCTTCGATTTCCAGACCCATACTGAATGCAATAGACGTGTTCTTCACTCTTTGCACACTGACTTGGAAGTAGGCAGGTACAGTGCAATCCTTCTTCTGTAAATAGATAAAAATATAGGATCAGCTAAGCATTTATTTTTACTTTAGTATGTAGTATTTGTGTGTGTGTGTGTGTGTTTTCATTTGCTATGCACTTATATCTAAATGCCATAATAACTATTTTGCAATAACAATCATAAGACTAAACATAATGCCGCTTAACAATAACTGGTTCTTGATCCATAAAGACAACCTCCTAAGTTTTATAGAACTATTCTTATAATAGAAGTCCCTCAGGACTTGTTTTTTCCTTGATTATAAACCAACTGTTGCAATAAAGTTTTGCAACTGAGAGCCACATTCAGTTTTTCAGGGGTGGGAGAAGGGTGTCTTCAGTGGATGGATGACGAGTAGGTGAGGCTGTATCATTCATCTTAGATAGGATTGGAATTTTTTTTGGAGGGGGGAGTTCTGTTTAGAGTGATGATGTGATAGAACTGGGGAGTTTTATTTGTATTTCATCATCAACAACATCAGCTTCATCTACACCTTCTTACTAAATGTTGTAAGACTTAAAATTGCAATTTCTTTATTTGTCTTCCTACCTCAAAATAATGGGAAACAACCCCACCAACCTTTGTTTAGGAGCAACTTGGAAGTACAAAAAACAGTGGTGGGAAACAAGTTACCTATCTCTGTTATAAATTAACTGCTATTAATTAACCATCATCTTCCTATCAATCTTTCTCACCACTATATGGAAATAAGATATTATTAAATTATTTGTTTAATAAGGACAACCCAAATTCTGCAAATCTCTTCTGTTGCACTTGAAGGTGTTTTCATCAGTGTCAGTATTGAAATTAAACCCTTCTAATTTGCTTTGAAACTTTCATTTATTGTAGGTTCCAGAAAAGATAGCATTTCCTTTGCTTCAATTACCGTCTACCATATTGCATTAAAAACAAAATCTGAATTTTCATAATCAGATTGAAAAAACAGATTGGAGTGTTTGTGTATGTGCCTGTGCAAAAGAGAGTCACATCAACTTCTTATTTCAGATGTGAACAGATACAAAATAGATTCAGTTTCTAAATAGTGAGGTTAATACCAATAGCAAAGGAGGTGAACATTTTAAATTTAACCAGACAAGCCATTTTTTTCTGGCAGAAAGCTTTTCCTGTATGAATCTCTGCCAAGGCCATTTACAGGAAAGATCACAATTGCTATCATCCTACAGCACAGTGAAAAACAAGTTACATAACAAACAGAGATGTGGACATTCATTTTCGGGAAGGTTTCACAACCTCAAAACATTTTCTTGAGCCCTTTCGAAACAGAGCTTAAATAAATAAAGAACGCATATAAGGGGTTTGTTAGCTACTATGCTTTGGAAAAGCCTCAGAGATCAGCAATGCAATTCCATCCATTTTTCCTACTCAGAATTAAAGCTTTTGGAGTTAAGATATGTTGATTCTAAACTAAAAGTGATACCTAAATCAGAATACTGCTGTAATACTTTTATCGATTCGCTAGGAGATCCAAATATTTTTTACATTTTAAACTGTAGTTTTGATAAATTGCCATTTTTAACATACAGTATAAAAGAAAAAAGTGGTATTGTCAGATACTTCTGATACTGTGCATAGGTGCATGCAGATCTGTTCTAGACTTCTTCTCCATTGGATGGCTGGTGCTTGTGAAATTCTCCCTTTCTATCAAACTTCTAGGTGGCCCTTTGTCTGGTCCAGAGCTTGGGAAGTCATGCAATAAGATGTCCCCTTGCAGAGTAGACTTGGAGAGGGGAGGAGTAGCAAAGGAGATAGGGAGGAAGAAGTGGCAGGGGACATCCCGCTGTGTGAGTGAAAGTTGACTCATGTGAACAATGGATATATCCTTCTGATTAACTAAAACTTAGTCACGCAGCATCTAATAAAAAATAGTAACATGCATTATTTATTTATCTCAGTAACTAGAATTATGTAGTGTTTTTTTATGCATTAACTTACAAAAAATTAAAAATCACCTCTACAAGTCAAAGATTGCAGTGTTCAAGAGACCTACCTGCACATCTTTCCCAGTCATAGCATACATCATATCCACAGGGCTCTTTCCTTCTGCTGTTTGCTGAAAGATTTGCCCTCTCAATGGCCCAGGTCAACCTAGTGTCATCACGACAAGGTTTGTTATGGATAAAATGGACTTGTTCATCATTCCTGCACTTTTCAGCCAGATAATGACAGCTAGAATTTGTAACAGCTTGTTCAGATTGTACATCCAATATGCAGATATCTTCTGAGCTGGTGCTGCCAAGAAATACAAATTATACATTTGGAGACAAAAAGATTCCATTGGTTTTCCTTGCTTCCATATTTCTACAATATAATTCATTGCCTGAGTAGTCAGTAAATCAAATATTTTATTGCCTGATGCATCAGTAGTTTCCAATATTCAGGAGCTTGAATGACCACATTGTATAACTAGACCTGTGCCAATGACCAAGCTTTAAATTGTCTCTCGTCCACAATGTCTCTGATGTTGATTTTGACATCCATTAATTGGCTCATTAAAAAGAAATTAGCATTTTATCCACTCCATTGTCCCCAAAGACAAGGCTGTAAACTCTACATCAGAGTAGATAGCCCCTTGTGGGTTGGGGCAACAGTTAACTTTTATAGGACCATTCATCTCCCTTTATCATCAACCACTGTGTTTTAGGGAGGCAAAAAACATAAATTGTCTGAACTATGTTCTTGAACCTGAGAGTATTACAAGCTAATTAATGTTTTAGTTTGCTTGATTTATAACAGTAATAATATGCCTGTGAACCAGCTGATTTCACTTCTTTAGAATGTGCTTGCTTTAAGTAGTTTTTATAATTCTCTCCTGAATACCTGGCAGATATTAACAAGGCCTTAACTTATGAGACATTTTTAAAAACTATCTACACAAAGGCCAGGGAGCACAATTGCTATCAGGAGAAAATCAGGCCACAGAACAGTATTTTGAGTTTCATCAGAAAAAGGTACTGGTAATCTCTGCATTGAAAATGCACTCAGCTGGAGATTTTGTTTTGTTTACTTGTAGTGTGTAATTCTTTCTGGGTTAAAATATGCCATTTTATGTATGTATGTATGTATGTATGTATGTATGTATTTATTAAATTTGTATGCCGCCCAACCGGTGACTCTGGGTGGCTCACAATTAAAACCACAAACCCAAGCCATTAAAAACAATACCATATAAATAATTAAAAGTAATTAATCAATTAAAATCTGACTATAAAACAACCCTATACATAAATACTAAAAAAACATTCAAGATGATGGTGGGGGGCAAGGTCAATTACCCCACAAGCCATAAGCCTTCTGGCATAGACAGGTTTTCACACCTTTCCTGAAGGCCATGAGAATGGGGGCACAGTGCACCTTGGGAGGTAGATTGTTCCACAGAGTGGGAACAATGTTAAAAATATTTAGCATATTTATTAATTATAATATTATATAATATTATAATATTCCATATTATATATTAAAATATGCCATTTTAAGCTTTTTGCCTTGAGACCTTGTTCTGAAATTCTGCAAAACATTTAGTAGTTCAGAGATTTGCAGAATGCAGGTGAATTGAAACATTTGCAAAATAGTTTTTGTCCCTCCCCCTGCCCCCAAAAGCCTTGCAACTGCTTCAGTATGGCAGCTTATCTCTTTTCAGCAACCCAGATACATTCATTGGGACAGAATGACACTTGGAGCAATGTGATATCACAATGTAGCTGCTCTACTTTATTGTCGGTCTTCGGGGAGGTGTTGAATTTCACCTTCCCTTTGCAAACCTTTCAGAAATCACTGAGCCCAATTATTTAGTCCAGCTGTAACTGAAAAATTCAGCACAAATGGTAGCCCAATGAGTATGGGCCACCAGCTATACGTATGACCCTCCAAAGACCTAATAAACCTTCTAATTTTGCTCCCCACTTGTAACTACAAAAACAGGGATGCTTTCCCTGCTGAAGAAAGATCATCTGCCAGCAAAAATAGGGAGGGTGCCAAGCTATAGGCAGATCATAAAAACTGAAATCTGTCTGATGTACAATATTTACTCCACCTATACTTACTTGCAGTCCTCCTCTGGGGATATGCAGACACACTGAGAATCCACCTCTTTTTTCCCAAGGCTGCAATTACCTTTGATGTGAAGCAGCTCGCCTAAAGAAGGAATTAAGACTGAGAGAAACAGAGAGAGAGAGACAGAGAAGAGGGGGGGGGCACAGGTTTCAAGTCAGGCTGATGAGCAGGTTCATTCAGTTTTAACATTCTAGTATAATCTGAAAAAGAAGTAAGATTTAGGTATTTCAGATGGGATCATGGTGTTCAGTCAAGAAACAACTGTTTTATGATGCTCCATGTTTGCTTTGAATGGACTACCATACTCAAGATATAACTTAAGAACCATGCTAATTGGATATGGAAGGCTAGAGTTGTACCCTCCTCAAAAATCTGCTTCAGTCTACTGTCCACCTAGGCCTAGCAGTTTGTGAGACCAGCACTTTTTATTTTCTAATAACTATTCATCAGACTGTGTAGAGGTCCTCAAAAATTTGTTTCATTCTCCAATCAATACTGGAGGGCACTTTGCAGGTTTGGTACTATTTGTTTTTTGTTTTAATTAAAATAATATGCCCCGGATCACTTGGAGTAAATCAGCATAGGACTTACTATGAGGTACCCAAGGGATCCTTTTAAATCTTGTTTAACCTTCTAAAAGCTTGCCATGCTTACAGTAAGAATGGGTGCTCTTTTGCAGGGAGGTATCTTCCCTTCCACTATTTCCTAGGTTGAATATAACTCATGGTCATCTCATGGTCATTCCAAAAAGTGTCAGAAAACAGAAGCTTCTCTACAAAGAATGCAGTGCTGCTATAGGCATGCCAGATCTTTTAAAGGTCAAGAAGAAATCTCAAAGTCATTTTGTTCATTTTGAGAGAAAATAAAATACTAGCTGAACATTGCTTGTAGTTAGTGTTGATCCCACCAAGAATCCTTCTGGGGACAACCTGTCCAATTTTATGTCAAAAAGATGTCATATCTCCAGTAGAAATCTTTAATTCCCTACAGATAGCAGGGTAGCCTGCTGAGTGGCAGTCTGCATTTGAGTTATCGTTTCCCAATTCGTGTATCCTTGATTTAGAACAGGAGTGGAAACATTTTAGATTTCCAGGATCTAGTTGTTGTTTTTTTATTAGAAGTCACAGTCCATTCTCTGGAATCAGCTGCAAATAAAGGATCAGATGTACTTCTGAGCAGACGCTTCAAACCAAGAATATGCTTTCGGAAGCAAGACTGAGTTCACACTCCTGTCGCACAATTTTCCCCTCCTGGTTTTCCTTCCAACATTATTTCTTTTTAGCTGCTTTATTTAGGTGGACTAAGTCTTACTGTTGCAGCTGGTTTTCAACAATTGGGAATCAGTCACCCTTGCAGATTTACCCCAAATTATAGATTTATTAGTAATTAAATTAATTAAAATTAATAATAATAAAATAACATTAAAATAAAATAATAAAGTAAATAATAAAGGCAGGATAAAAAAATTTTAAAAAAACATTCTCAAGGTACATTCAGTCTTCCTTGATGTGCAGATGTTCCCATCACTGAATCTTCATCACAGGATAGCAAACAAGAAAGAAAAATAACACAAATGAATGATCTACAGCAAGCATAAAGCCATGAGAGCAGAAACTCATTGTAGTTACATACCTTTCTTGCAATCAAGTGAGCTCAGAATTGGAGGGATCCAGGAAAATTTGTCTCCACATTTGTACGTCTCTGAGCCTGTAAGACTGTAACCTTCAGGACAGCTCAGCTGGATGTTGTCCCCAACATCATACTGAATTTTAAATGGGGTCATACGGACAGCAGTGGAAACTGATGGTTTGTCACAAGCCAACACTGGAGTTTAAGGAAGACAAATATTATGATTTACATCTTTTTTTATAATTAACAAAACATTACTGGGCAATATACTAAAAAATATACCTCTGTGCAATATAAAATTACAACATAAGCATACAAATCAAGCATCAGAATAAAACTAGGATTTAAAAATCTCATTATATTAGCGCCAAAGATCTAAAAATCACTGAAACATGGTTTAAAACCAAACAAAAAAATTAGAGAAATTAAAGACTTCACAGAGCAACTCTCCTTAGTAGGCATATATTACGTTTTTTCTCCCAAAAAATATGGGACATGTCACCCATCCTGAACATGTAACCTGAAGCTCAGTTACATGTTACTTTTATTATACAGAAAGCAACATGGTATTGTTTGTTGAGAACAAAGTTATACAACCTGAGACCTCAGAAGTTACACATTTTCTAAAAACCGGTGGCCTTGAAAAGTTATCAAATTGCAGTTTTTAACATAACAGAAGAAGATGGCTACTATGATTGGAGACTATTAGCTACATTTTAAATAAAACGTCAAATTTAGTTTTGCCCTGGCCTTGTGTATTCCCTGCTGTTGTATAAAGACCAACAATGTTCTCAGACAGGAAGAAGTTCTGCGTTCCTTTAAAACAATCCTTCCCTACAAGCAAAAAAGCTGAAGAAATTTGATTTTGACTTTTCTGGATGCTGAGAGTAAGCAGAGGCCTATTTAAATCCATATGACTATTCCCCTTTCCCTGATGAAACAAGCATAGCCATCAATTCTTTCCATTTTTCTTAACCTTATAGGAAAGATGAGATTCGATATAATTAATAATGTTATTACTATTAATTACATATTCTTAACTTTTCCCTAAGGAGCTCAGGATGACATACTTTTTTCATATAATTGTATATGACTGATTAGACTGAGAGAAAGTAATTTAATTCATGAGTAGGAATTTGAACCAAAGTCTTTCTGGTCAAATAAAGATGTCCTAGCCACTGCATTAAGTTGGCTCACTCTAAGAGTAACATGTAGCTGTTTCCTAAGCAACAATAGGATTATGAGGCATAAAACTGGACGGACACATGCTATCTCCTTTTCATTCTGCTCTTCCTCCCTTTGTGGCATACTACAGTAAGTGATGAATTGCCTCTCAAAGAAAATGGGGATATCCACACATTAAAATGCTTAATATTGGACTGGCCAAAACATTTAAGAGAGCAAACCCCATTCCATTCCAGCACTGAAGATATTACCTAACCGGGTAATGAAATGTTTGCAAGAAAAGAACCAAGCTCAGAGAACCCCAAGGACTCCACAGTTCAACCCTGAGCTACACATATTCGCCTCTATCAAAACATTTCAATTTGCACTGCATACTGTTGAAGACAACAGTGAACCAAGCCATTTGGGTTGCATAACTGAAGCTGAGGGCTGGATCAATATTTAGTTATGGTTAGAGTAAGTCTGTTGAAAACAGTGGCACTTTACTCAGGATTCCATCTGATTTCACTGAGTTTAAGGATCCAAACTTATGCTTTCTCATTTCTCCCTTGAAGAGATGTATTATTAATCATAAAGCATGTGATTTCTTTACTTTTTATCCAATGTGTTCTGTTTCTTACACTGGCACTCAATGGTCTGTTGTAACCATGTTTTGTCTGGAAGGCAGCGAAAGAACTGATATCCCAGGCGATGATAGCCACTGAAGCAAACCGCTTCGGCTTCTTCTCCAACATCATAACACGGTTTTTCATTCTGCAGACAAAGTAAAAGTTTAGTCCAATAAGTGGAATTTTCATTACATAAACTATAAGAGATGGGCTGAAGTCTTAATCTTTGAAAGAAGTAGTGATACCTATAATAATGTGAGTTCTTATGGTAGCAACAAAAGTACCAGGAATTAAAGAAGTCATAAAATGAGTGTTACAAAAGAGGATAGGGCTAAAGAGAATATTCTTCCAAAACACAAACCAGTTTGGAATAATGGGAGTAGGTTTTAAAGAATATTCCTGGTGTTAAGGAAAAAGAAATTAATATGCAGATGAACATTTGCTTGTACAAGTCAAAACAGATAACTTTATGAGTGTGCCAAGAGATCAGGGATGCAATGGGCCTCTTAAGATAGACTGACAAATATTCAGTATGTAAGTGTGAATCACTAAAACTCCTGCTCAGATTTATAGCAGCTTCTTTTTAAGACAGATTTTTTAAAAAACCAAAGGAAGATGGGTAATAGGGAGATGGGCAGCATATAAATTAAATAAATAAATAAGAAAGAAAGAAAGAAAGAAAGAAAGAAAGAAAGAAAGAAAGAAAGAAAGAAAGAAAGATGCAAGAGTTTGCCTTGCTGAGAAGCCCAATGGGAAATGAACAATCACATTTGTTCCCAATGGAATTTGAGGCAAAATTCTTTTACATCCTTAATGGGAGATATTTTAAAATACCTCTCATTTTAAATTCAATTTTAGCTTTATATTAATCATGTGACACTTTTTCAAGTGATCCTGTAAGAATATGGCCATTCACATAAATTAAGGTGTGTGGAAATCAACTTATTCACCGGAATTAATTTCTCAGACCTGTCAATCAATTCCTTAATGTCTGTGGATTTTAAAGATTCATCTCTGGAACAGAAGTGTGAATAGTACAACCATCTATTCTAATATAGCACCCTCCAGGAATATTGGGAATCAACTACCCAAATTCCTTTTTGAGAATTCTGAGATTACATTCCCAACACATTTAAAGGATTGAATTGTGATAGGCTGTCACAAATTCATTTCCAGGAGCACCTCATCTCAAGAGCCTGAAGTGGCACTCTAGCATTGGTGCTATTTGGTAAAAGACTGGGGTCCACTTAGACAAATGTCAAAGTCTTCTCTAGTCCATTAAATGCTGCTAACCCTGATGAATCCATTTTCTGGTGCTTCTGGAGTTGAACATCCTGTGTCACATCTATGTTTTATCCGGCCTTCTTCAGTGTAGTCATCATCATTTACACAAGTAGCACCCCTGTAATTGTAACATTGTCCATTTAGGAACTCATTCAAAAGAAACACATTAAAGCAAAAAGTCATAGATAATCAGTGGATTGCAATAATCTGATAGACCCAAGACAAATATCCTCCAATCCTGTTATGTTCATTTTGCATTTGACACCCCCAAAATCTAGGAGGGAAGTTTACATATTTTTAATTTGTTCTGCCTACTTCTTTCAGATTTAGAAGGTCCTTAGAAAATGCCTTCCTCAACTTCAAAATGCTGAGGGTGAGATTACTTGGGCTGCATCCACATGAAGGATTTGAAAGGGGACAAATGTATATTCTCCAAGGCACATGCATTGACTTTTTCTTAGCAATCAACATTACAGGTGTTAAGTGGGAACTATCATATTTCATATCCTGTCTGCTCTTTTGCCCCTTCATGGATCACTGCCTTGTCGTGGCGAAGGGGCTTGCGTAACTCAGTGA